ACACCAGCTAGGAGCAAGGCCAGCTGTGATTTTCTCCAAAGGTCACATCACCTGGGACCGTGAAGCCCCTTATGAATTCCGAGGTTTCTAAACCTTGGGGAATGTGTGGGGTGGTCTCAGTTATCTCTTCCTTTGGTGACGGCGGTCACCCAGAACTAAATCTTCCCTTGCCTCCAGGAGCTTGGGGCCTAGGGGTGCCCTATACTCTGTATCAATAGGGTAAATCCTTTCTGTTAAGTCTCAACTCTAGTTTCTCTTCCGTGGACGTAAAACTTGGGGATCCCCAGCTCTCCAGCCCTGGAGGGATGTGAACTGTCTCTGATCTCTTTCCGCACACACATCCTCCCCTCCCCCACTAGCATCAGGAAAATAATACTGATCTGGGAGCAGAAAGTGTGGGGAACTGCAGAGGAAGTGCCGGGACGGAGACAGTGGGGCCTGACGCTTCCCTCTGCCTCCTCCCCTCCCTGGTGTTACTTCTCTCGGACCCACCACTCCAGCGGGGAGGGGCGGGGCTGGGTTGGGGGTAAGATCGATACTTCACTGGGTTTTGATGACCGCAGGCTTTCACCTTGCAGATAATGGGGTGAGCGGCGATAAACTCTCACCGACAGAGAGGGCTCCCCCGGTCTTAATGAGATAATCAATACTTGTTCTCGGCTTAATTTCCATCTAATTGCTCTTTAACGACGCCGGATAATGGGCCGCCTCCTGTGAGGAGAGAGCTGGCTGGGAATCCGACCCGCCTCAGACCCCCGCCCCTCTTCCCGGGCGGGGCGCCCTCACGCAGGTGGGTGGGGGCGCACCACGCTCCGGGCGGCGGCAGCACCCTCCGCCGGTCTCCTAGCCCCGCGCCCGCGCCGCCACCAGCCCGAGGTGTTCTCCGCCCCGACGGGGGACGCTCCGGGCCCTGGATGCGGGATCCCAGCCAAGGCTCCCGATTCTGGGCTCCGGGTCATCCGCCTGACTGGACCTTGGAACCGCGCGGTGCCCTCGCCCCGTGATGGCGCCTCATCCTTCCTGCCATCCACCGGGCCAGGCAAGTGGGGTCTGAGCTCCCGAGCCCAGGTGAAGGGCCTCTGGACAAACCCTTTCCTCTCTTCCCTTCTTACCTCCATGCACTGCACAGGGCGGTGGCCCCGAGGTCTCAGGTAAATTGCTGTTTATGAGCCTAGGGAGGGTTCCGATCATACTTTTCCCTGTGAGGTAGCTGAGCTGCCTCCTGCAAAGGAACCTGGCTGCCACCGCAGACCCTCAGGCAGGGAGGGGAGAGGGTCAAGAATGAGGAAGGCGGGGTGGGACACCCAAGCCCCATGGCTCACAGTGCCCCCCAGCTCACAGAGCCACCTGACTTCCAGCTCCCCACTCTCCCCACCCCAACCACCCATAGCCAGGGCAGTTCCTGCCGAAGGCAGCAGCTGATATTAGCCCTAACTGCTCTCACCTCCCACCTGCCGGGCTCAGCACTAGGAGCAGCTGGAGGTTCTCCCCAAGGCCTCCGAAACATTCTAGCCTCACTGGGGACTGACCTGCCACCCCCCATAGCAAACCCCATAGCCTCAGCGCATCTCTCCTCTTCTCTTGATGCCAGACCTGAAGCACTTTGGCCTCAGGTGCCCAGATGCTGTGACCAATGATGTTCCCATCACCTTCCCACCTCCTGATCTGCCATCTGGGCGCACACTCACCTGCATTTCTGCAGCTTGGCTTCTGAATCTGGGGTATTTAAATTTATAAAACACCAGCTGCAGTTCTGGCTCCAGCTGCACTGAAGTTAGGTTGACAAAGACAGTGATAGTGTTAGAATAATGATTGGAATCAGGCCTTGGACCTAGGCAACCCCAGCTTCAAATCTTGTCTCTGTTGCTTATCAGTCAGTGTGACAGGGGGCAGACTTACCTACAGGTCTGATCCTCAGTTTTCTCATTTAAAAAATAAGGTTCATAATCTCACCTTCATAAGTCTAAAATAAGATAATGTATGTAAGTTGCTTGCCACAGTGCCTGGCACACTAGAACCATTTGATAAGTAGTAGCTGTTATCATTATTTTATTTTTAAAAATATATATTAATTTCAGAGAGAGGAAGAGAGAGAGACAGAAACATCAATGATGAGAGAGTCATTGATTGGCTGCCTCCTGCAGGCCCCCGACTGGGGATTGAACCCGCAACCCAGGCTGGGAATCAAACCATGACCTCCTGGATCCTAGGCCGACGCTCAACTGCTGAGCTATGCCTGGCTGGGTGGTAGTAGCTATTATTGTTGTTATTATCACTGCATGTTAGAGCTGAAGGAACCACCTAGTTTAAGAATCATAAACTCAAAGGTTACAGGAGCAGGCAGGGATCCTAAATGAGGGAAGTAGGCCAGGTCAGGACTGTGGTAAGTTGGACAGGGCCAGACCCACCTAAGACAGTAACCAGTACATCTTCAATTGTTGCCAAGCAGACCAGATTCCCGATTTTTCCTCTTTTCTCAAGAAAATTTGGCAGCCCCAGCAGCTTAGATATTAGCTCTGATTTTTCTTACCTCCCACCTCCCTATCTCAGCACTAGGAGCAGCTAGGGGTTCTCCCCAAGGCCTCTCTCAACGTCCTGGCTTGATAACTCTGGCCCCCAAATTCTGGATTTTTCTATAAAATTTCACACAATTTAAGTGTTGGCAGTTAAATAAAAAATTTAAAACACTGCCAAATACAACATGTCTGAAGGCGGAATTCACCCTCGTTTCTCAGAAAACTGAGGTGCAGATATGTCATGGCTGTTGGCAAAGCTGACTGGAAACCTGGATTCTAAATTCAAATAACTTCTCCTAGGAGGCCCTTCCTAGGCCACGGGCCTTTTCAGCTGCTACCCACTGCAGATGCTGCCCCTCTGCCCACAGTGACCAGTGTTAGTATTTGGCAGCTACTGAAGCACAAGGCCTGGCTCATGGCAGCCTTCTCATTTCTGATAAATCCAAATCCTTTTAAAATGTTGTAGAGGGCACTGTAACAGCCAGTCAAGTTCCAGGACCCTGGAGATCTCAACTCCTAATTTAAAGATGTTTTCTTTTTTTATTCTATATTTATTTCTACATAGTTTGTAATTCTTCCTCCTTTCCTTTTTTTTTAAAAGTCATTTTTTATTCTTCAGTTACCGTTGACATATTAGTTTTAGGTTCACACCCCAGTGATTAGACATTATATCTTATTAAATGATCATCCCAAGAAATCTCATACCCATCTGACACCATGCATAGTTGTTAGAATATATTCCCTACGTTGTGCTTTACATCCCCGTGACTATTCTGTAACAACCAATTTGTACTTCTTAATCCCTTCACCTTTTCCACCCATCCCCTCAACTCCCCTCCCATCTGGCAACTGTCAAAATGTTCTCTGTATCTATGAGTGTTTCTGTTCTGTTTGTTCATTTATTTTGTTTTTTAGATTCAATTGTTGATATTTATTAACATTTTATTGTTCATATTTTTATCTTTCCTCCTCCTCCTCCTTCTTCTTTGAGAAGACCCTTTAACATTTCATGTAATACTGGTTTGATGGTGATGAAATTTACCTTTTTCTTGTTTGGGAAGCTCTTTATATGCCTTTCGATTCTAAATGATAACTTTGCTGGGTAATCTTGGTTGTAGGTCCTTGCTTTTCATCACTTTGAATATTTCTTGCCACTCTTGTCTGGCCTGCAAAGTTTCTGTTGAGAAACCAGCTGACAGTCTTATAAGAGTCTGTTGTAGGTAACTAACTGCTTTTTTCTTGCTGCCTTTAAGATTCTTTCTTTGCCTGGCTGACATGGTTCAATGGTTGAGCCATTCCCTGAAACAGGAAATCACAGGGAGGTCACAGTTTGATTCCCGGTCAGGGCACATGCCCAGGTTGCGGGCTCGATCCCCAGTCGGGGGCGTGCAGGAGGCAGTGGATTGACTCTCATCATTGATGTTTCTCTCTCTCTCTTCCTCTCCCTTCCTCTCTCTGAAATCAATAAAGACATATTTAAAAAATAAATAAATAGCCTGGCCAGGCATGGCTCAGCAGTTGAGCATCAACCTAGGATCCAGGTGATCGGGGTTCGATTCCCGGTCAGGGCACATGCCCAGGTTGCGGGCTTGAGGCAGCCAATCAATAATGACTCATCACTGATGTTTCTATCTCTCCCTCTTCTTTCCTCTCTCTGAAATCAATAAAGATATGTTTAAAAAAATAAATAAATAAACACAATGGGAGCCTCACAAAAGACAGAAGCTTCCTTTAAAAAACAAACAAATAAATAAATAAAGCAATTTATTTATTAAATGACATTTTGTCTAGTATAGATTCTAATAGTGTTTCCCTTGGCATGAGCATGGCATTTATCCTCTCATACCCCAATGACCCATTTACTCTCCTCATGATTACACAAACCTATACGTATGATAAAATTTCCATTATGAACACATACACAAATACATGTAAAAATCAGTGAATTGTGAATCAGTTTTGTAGCAATGTCAATGTCCTGGTTTTGATAATTATACTATGGTTTATAATATGTTACTAATGGGGCAGGGTGGGTGAAGGGTACCTGGGAACTTTTTTCTGTGCTATTTTTGCTACTCCTATGCAAGTCTAAAATTATTTCAAAATAAAAGTTTTTGGGTTTTTTAACCTAGGGAAGGAAATCCTTGCATAACTGGACATCTTAAATCTTAGGGTCTTAAATATTTACTTAACGTCTAAAATTAAAAATAACTGACAATACCAAGTGTTGACAAGGATGTAGCACAATGGGAACTCTTACAAGCTTTGGGTGACTATGTAAACTGATACAGTCACTTTGGAAAAAACAGTTTGGTGCCCTAGCTGGTTTGGCTCTGTGGTTAGAGCACTGGCCCAAGGACTGGGGTCTTGGGTTCAATTCCAGCCAAGGGCATGTACCTTGGTTGCAGGCTCAATCCCAGGGGCATGCAGGAAGCAACCAATTGATGTGTCTCTCTCACATCGATGTTTCTCTCTCTCTCTCTCCCCCACTCTCTCTGAAAAGTAATGGAAAAAATATCCTTGGTAGAAGATTAAAAAACAACAAAAAAATGGTTTGGTAATTATGTTGAATGTATGCATATTACATGAAGCAGTAATTCTACTCCTAGGTGTATTCCAATTTATATAAAAGTCAAAAGTAGGTAAAATTATAGAGTTAGACATGAATTAATTAATAAAGAGAAAGGATTAATGATTGGGAGGAAGCATGATGGGAGCTTCTGGAGGTGTTAGTAATGTTCTGTTTCTTGACCTGTATGATCACATGAGTGTTCCTTTGTAATGATTAATTGAGCTATATAGCTATTTTGTGCACTTTTCTGCTTGTCTGTTATACTTCAAAACAAAAAGAAATGTAGAAAGAGTCTAAATGATTTAAACATCCTTTTTATCAATACAAAATGTGGACAAGTCATTCGGTCAGATGGAGCTACAGTCATCATCTCAAAGGTGAATGGGAAATGGGGGGTAAAGGGAGTGGGGATATAAGAAAAGTAAACTGAGGGATATAAGAAAACTGAGGAAATTTTCACCTGATTTCTTTCTGCATGTTTTAAAGCTTGTTCGACTTGCCATAATGCCTAGGTATTCCAGAGAGTTAGTCTCCTGGGCATTCCAGCTTTCATTTAGTAACATATAGCTGAATTATAATACTTATCTTCCCACCTAGCTATCCCAACTTTCTACATTTATCTCAACATCCTAATTTACCTATAAAACATCTTCTATTTTATTATGAAAAATAATTATACAAAATAATAGTATACTCATCCATATGCCTCATTCCAAATTCTCTTAGGGTATTTATTGATGATATATATGAAAATTATTTACATGGTTGTGACCAGTATCCATATACTTCTCCTTTTCACTTAACCTTATTTTCATACACATATTTTTCACTTTGACTGAGTTGACCTATTTGTCATAGTAGGTAGTTACAAGGTATTCTGTCTTAATTATCTAGTTGAGCCTTTTTTTGACTTAACTGATTCTAATGTTCAGAGAAAGCACGATTCCTCTGTATCCATCTTTAATGGGTCAGTCTAGACCATTTGTTTCACTTCTGCTTCTTCCTCAAAGTTGTAACCTCACTATTTTCACAGGCTGCATCAAAAACAGGCTCATGAAGTGACAGGTTAGAATGTGTGGCTCCTCCCAAGTAATTTCTTACCAACTTACACACTGACCCTTTATGCCTTGTTTCATCTTATATTGTTCATTTGTATAGGACCCATTTTAACCTGTCATTATATTTCAGTTATTTCATGGGTTGTAGCTAAAAGAAGTGAAGGTATGAAAACCTGTAAACTCTAGGCTGATTCACAATAGAAAGCAAATTACCTCATTCCTTCTTCAGTACAAGCATCTACAGGAAAGGGTGGGGAGGGGAAAGAGGCAGGACCGTCTGTTCTTTAACAACTTCACCCTCTTCATCTGAATCTAGCCTCCCTCATGTAGACACTCAAAGGATACTGCCACCTGGCTTCCCTCCTTGCAGTACTTACATCATCTAGATTAGACAATCCTTTCTCTGTGGCCCAACAATTTTGCATGACCCGGTCAAAATGATTCAACATTTTCAAAGTATGAATATGCAAATTATTTTGTAACTTTATGATGCAAATAGGTGTTATTGAATGTGTTTTGGAGCCTTAATGGATAGTGTCAGATGAGGATCTGGGAACGTATTTAAACTTCCAAATTGTGTCTTAGGCAAATAATTCTCTTCTAAACGTATTTTCACAACATGTTGCATTTTCCTGGAACAAAATCTCTACTTCTGTATAGTCAATATCTTTGGTGTCTACTGTATGTATGTACGATAATGTTCTCGTCACCAACAGCAAGCCCACCAGAGGGCGTGCGTTCCCTGTCTATCCAGTCTTCTCCATCAGCGACACAGGAAATCCAGGTTAAGCTTGACTTTCACACTGAGGAAGTCGTTCACATTTAATCCACAAATATTTACCAAGAATTTTCGGGGCTGTCAGGCGTGGGGCTAGGTTCACAAGATACAGTAGTGAATTAGACACATTCCTAATACCAGACCCTTGGAGCAGAGCAAAGACTGAAAGTAAACAACCGGCTACAATGAAGTGGGTAAGAGAGGAGTTTCTAGGTCTGTAAAATTTGTTACTTAAATGCTGGCGCCAAGTCTTAGAGAAGGGTAACAATTCATTAAAGGCTGGACTGCTTCCGCTCTCTATCGGGGGCAACGATCTCCGCCCTTCAGGTATTTTGTAAATCAGAGCCAGAAGTGTCTTCTTGGGTGAGTAGCTCCATTAGTCACCTCTGCAATTTCAAGTCTCTCCCACCCCCACCCCACCCCCCTTTTTTTCTCCCCAGGGCTTCCTGCAGTTCTCTTACAGTTCACTTCTGCCTCATGTCGACACTTCAGTTGCTATAAGGCCAAAAATAAAGAATCACCGGCGAATACCAGCCAAAGCTGGCTCCGCCCATTCTCTTTCCGGTTTAAAACCCGCGGACTTTTCCTCTTCTGAGTTCCTAGACTTCCTGTTCTAATTCTCGCGACAGTTTCAAACAATGCGTGCAGTTCGCTTCCGGTCCCTCTTTTGAGTTTGAGAGACCAGGGTGGCACAGTGCCCTATCTTCGCACACCACGTCTGACCTTCCGACCAGGAGTGGCGTGTACCCTGCTAGGGAGCCCCGAAGTGGAAGGGCTTAGGCGAGTTCAGGCCCCGAGGGAGAGTCCCGGACCACACTCGGGCGCCGGGCTCTCGGGGCCACAGTACGCATGCGGAGTCGGTCTCCCAGGGCGGCCGCGAGGCCCGACCGGCTCTGAACTCCGGGGTTGGTCGGGAGGCCCGCGCTCAAGTCGCCCCGCCCCTTGCCAGGTCCTTCTGGGCGGTGCCTGACTACATTCCCCTCCCAGGCTGCAGAGCTGTTTCGGCCTCTGGGAAACTGAGCTTCAGCGCGGTTTCCGTAAACCGCTCGGGGCCGGCGGGGCGGGCCTCCAGAAATGCTCTCCTCCCTGTCCCCAGCCCAAAGTGCCACGGTGGCGCTGGTGGCGGCTGCGAGACCGTTTGCCTCCGGCCCTGCTAGCTTCGCAACCAGAACCTGTAATCCGGACCTGGGAGGCGCCCCGCCCACCTCTCCCAGCGGCCGTTCGTCGGCTGGGACCTTTAATCACCGTGCTCTTCTGCGGTTAAAGCACCTGCGGGAGCGAGGGAGGGAGGAAGAGGCCAGATGTGGGGAGGCTGATGTAAGCGCCCAGTCTTGGTCGGCGTTTTGGTGAGGAAGCCGGATGGACAAGCCTGCGGTCACCCCCGGGCAGCCGGTTTTGGGCTGCCGGGAGATGATGTTGCTCGGCCCTGCCCTATACAGGAGCGCCGACTTGGCACCAGAGCCTCTACCCCACGGACTGTAAAGTCAGATGGTCAAGGCCTAGCCGCTCAGCCAACTCTTCGAGCTGGAGGCCACCAGCAGCTCTCGCCCCCTACTCCTACCCCCCACCCCACTCACCCCTTCTCTGTCCTCTCCCAGTTTCGGTGTCCGGTTACGACTCCTCTATTCTTACTGTGACTTTGGCCCAGGCTGAGGGAAGTGGCCCAGGAGGGTCCCGTGCAGCCGCATAAAATTCGCATCTTCAGAACTAGTGGGTAGGGTAGGGGTGGGGAGGTGGGGTGAGACGCCGAGGGGCGGGGAGAGGGGCGGAGGAGCTGCTCTGAGTCCAAGTCCGTGGGCTCTCTCAGAGATCCTCAAGCCAGAGCAGAGGTGGCTGGCGGGCCCAGCCAGTTATTCGCCTCCGCTTTCTTTCCACTGTCTGCTTTTTTGGACTGGAGTCACGGCTGCTCTGAAGGGCTTAGTCCCGGACACTAGGTGAGCGCTCTGGACCCCAGGGCACCCCTCTCCCTTCCCACCCTTATTAACCACTCCTTACTTCTTGTGGGGCCATCCATTCCTATCCACTTCTAGGGCAGGAAACTGTTCAGAACTGGGTGGTGTGTAGTGGTGGTGCTGGTATGGGGGTGTGTGTGTGGGGGGGTGTGTGCGCGCGCGCGCCTGAGCTTTTATCACTCCTTACTCTCACCTCTCCTTAATCCCGCAAGAACAGCCCAATGAATTACTACCCAGCATAACTGGATGACCCCTATGCCTCCGAATTGAGGGTCTACTTAACTCCAAGTTAGCAGGGGAGGAGACAGTGCTAGAGTAAAATTTTGGTACAAGGAGCAGTGAGGTTGCTTCTGACCTCCTGACCTGACTTCCCTCCCTGGCAGGGTGCAGGAACCCGCTGATGCCTCGAGTGCTCGCAGGGCTTCCAGCTAACTATGCCACAGCCGCCCGCAGCTACCTTGGCGCTGCCCCTGCTGCTGCTCCTGCTGGTGGTGCGGGCGCCGCCCCCGACTGGCGCTCGGCCGTCTGCAGGTCCGGATTACCTGAGGCGCGGCTGGCTGCGGCTGCTGGCGGAGGGCGAGGGCTGCGCTCCCTGCCGGCCAGAGGAGTGCGCCGCGCCCCGGGGTTGCCTGGCCGGCCAGGTGCGCGACGCTTGCGGCTGCTGCTGGGAATGTGCCAACCTCGAGGGCCAGCTCTGCGACCTGGACCCCAGCGCCCACTTCTACGGGCGCTGTGGCGAGCAGCTTGAGTGCCGGTTGGACACAGGCGGTGACCTGAGCCGCGGAGAGGTGCCAGAGCCGCTGTGTGTCTGCGGCTCGCAGCGCCCTCTCTGCGGTTCCGACGGCCGCACCTACGCGCAGATCTGCCGTCTGCAGGAAGCAGCCCGCGCTCGGCCAGACACTAACCTCACTGTGGCGCACCCAGGGCCCTGCGAATCGGGTATGGGTCTTCTACCCACAGCACTTGGGGTTCCTCAAGGCATTGTTCCCTGGCCCTGGACGTTTTTGTTCTTGGCCAGCGAAGCGAAAGGATGAGGCCTGGAGTCCAGTATAAGAGCCCATTCTCGCTGCTGGTCCGCAGAGGCCGCCGCCTGAAGTTTCGGATCTGGAGCTTTTCGTGAAAGCTCCACACCCGCTGGCAGGGGCCACTCTCTGAGGGAGTAGACACATAGACAATTGTTGACCTCAAAATTGAGAAAGTTAAGAGACTCCCACTCTTTGTCCCAGACCGCTGGAGCCTGGCTGGGAGACATCGGGTTCCTGTGAGATGCAATCAGGTTTCATTTGGGCAGCTTCGTATAGCGCACTATTAACCCAGTCTCCCCACCTCCCCACCCCAAGCTCCTTCTGCGCAGAGGGATTAGTGGGGGAGGGGGCTCTTCTAACCCCTCCTCCCATCCCAGGGGGCTCAGGGCTATTCAAGCCTCAAGTTTTATTTGGCAGCTTTAGTAACTTTCACTTCCTGAGCCCCTTTGATGGGTCTGGCTGGGCTGAGGCTGCCAGGAAAACAAACACCCTGTGGGGATCCCAACACTTTCTCCCACAGCTCCAGGCTTTCTGCTTGCTGCCCAGGTCGGTGTCAGGTTCTCTGCCTTCGCTATTTGGGATGGGGCCCCGCCCCTTCTTGGTTGAGGTGGGGGAAAGCAGCTTTTTGGGCTTTTGGCAACTGGACCTGGATAGAAAAAGGGGAGGGTGGAGGAGGGAGGTGTTGGTTACAAATACAGGGATAGGGGCCTACAGGGTGGAATGAGGACAGGGGAGCAATCAGGGACAGTGTGGCTGCCAAGCTGAGGTGTGTGTGTGCATGTGCTTGTTTGTGCATTTTGTCCGCACATCTCCATCTCCGTGTTTGCATTCTTTGTGTACTTGCATCCACATTGGTATACGTGTCATGTTGTGTTCATGGAGGTGTATTTACCTTAGCATATATTGTGTTCCCCCACAAACATGTTCGCAATGGTTTGTTTATGGGATCCTTGCTGGGCTGGATGTGCCATCCTGTTCTCAGGTCTCCCACCTCCACCCCCAGAGCCCCAGATCGTGCTGCACCCATATGACATTTGGAATGTGACGGGGAAGGATGTGATCTTTGGCTGTGAGGTGTTTGCCTATCCCATGGCCTCCATCGAGTGGAGGAAGGATGGCTTGGACATTCAGCTGCCAGGAGATGACCCCCACATTTCTGTGCAGGTAGGGGAAGGGAGAAGAGCTTCCCCAGGGGCAACCCAGGGCCCACCTAGAAGGACCCTCCTGACTCCTCTTCTGGTTACAGTTTAGGGGTGGACCCCAGAGGTTTGAGGTGACAAGCTGGCTGCAGATTCAAGCTGTGCGCCCCAGCGATGAGGGCACCTACCGCTGCCTGGCCCGCAATGCCCTGGGCCAGGTGGAGGCCCCAGCTAGCCTAACTGTACTCACACCCGGTAAGAGGGAGGAGCCCTGGGCTCTGCGGGCTGGAGGAGATGGTGGTTGATTTGGGCTCTTGAGTGTGTATCCATGTGTGTATGTGCATGTGAGTGTACAGGCAAGTGTGGCTTTCTCACAGACTGGGATACGTGGGCAATGACAGCCCCTCTTTCCTGGTCTCTTTCCTTTGTCCACATGTGTTTTCAGACCAGCTGAACTCCACAGGCATCCCCCAGCCACCATCCCTGCATCTGGTTCCTGAGGAAGAGGCTGAGAGTGAAGAGGGCGAGGATTACTACTAGGTCCGAAGCCCTGGCCCATGGGGGTGGGTGAGTGGGGATAGTGTTCATCCTTACTCTTGAAAATATCTGGAAACGGGGAGCAGGGCCTCTTCACAGGTTGCTTTAATGCCTTCACTGGGCGGAGACATGATGGTGGAGGGGAGACAAAAATTGGAGGAGGGTAAGAAGAGAGGCAGAGACTAGGGGATAGAGGTGGTCGGATGCAAAGGGGCCCATGCAGGAGATGCATGGACCAACTAGGAAGAAGGCAGCAGCTGCCTGCTGGTCCCGAGGCTGGGTGGAGGGTGGGGTGGGGTAGGGTAGAGTGGAGCAGACACAAAAAGGTGTAGATAGCAGGTTCCTCCCTTGCTTTCCAGCAGCCCTTCTCTAGCCCTGCTCAGCCAGTCTTCCTAAGTGCCCTTCTGCACAGCTCCTGCTTTTATTTTCCTAGTCCCCAATCTTTGCCTTTTCTCAGTTTGTTCTTTTTCAAAATTAACCTTCTAGAAATTTCCCTCTCCTAAGTCCCAGTTGCACTTACTAACTGCAGTCCTTTTTGCTGTTCGCCATCTGCTGTCCAGGAGAGCACAATGGAGCATGGTTTAGTTCAGTGCAGTAAGATGGGCATTTGGTTATGTCTAATTTCTCCTGTCATTCTGGAAATTCCTTATCTTATACCACGTTGTATTGGACAGTGCCTAGCGCAGGACTAGGCACAGTAAGCACAAAATAAAGATTTATGAACAAACTGAAACACACAGATGGTTCATGCTGATGTGCACATGAAGACTGAATTTCATGGTCATAAGACTCTGGCTTCCAGAAGCTGTAGGTCCTGCTCTCTAAGCACATGTCTGCCAGATGTATAGAGAGGATGCTTGAGCTGAGGCCTCTAGGGAGGAAGGTTGGAGCTATCTGGGTGGAGGGAGGGTGTCCCCCCAGTCTGCACTCCATTGGGGCTGGTTTAGAGAAAGATTGCCTGCCCCTCTGTTTATCTCACTCTGGTCTCCTCCCCAGGCAGAATGGGGAATCAGGTCTTTGTGGGTAGAACCCAGTATGAAAGCAAAAACTGGGTGGAGGAGAAGTTTGGTTAAGTGCATGTGCCACACCCTAGGATGCCCCTAGGAATGGACCCTTTCCTTGCTGAACACGAAGTCTTGGTAAGCTGGTTTCCTCATCTGCCCCAACTGTGACTGGTTCTATCTGGCTGAGGGTCCCTCAGGGAGCCAGGCTCTTTCACTCCCCAAATCTCTCTCCACGCTGGCCTTACCTAGCCGAGGGACACAGGGGAGGCGCAGTGTTTATTGACTGAAGGAGATGAAAGCTTAAGTTCTGGAGCCCCGTAGGGATGGCGACGGCCTCCTGAGCGCCTGGGCTACGCCCGGAGCCTGGCGCCACCACGGGAATGATCACAGTTCGGTGTCTGAGCTTGCCCTCTGCGGCCCAAGGCAGGAGCCCGGCCTCTTAAGAGGGGCGTGGTCTGGAACCCCAACCCCAGGGCTTGGCCGCCCCTCTCTCGGAACAGCTTGGCTCCTCCAGAAGCTAAACCACGGGACAGCTCTCATTGCCTGGCTGGGAGCCCCGCGGCTCCAGAAGCTGCGCTCAAAATACTTGGGATGAATTCCAAGGCGACCGCAAAAGCAGGAGCAGGGATGTGAGCTGTGTGTAGGGGGAAAGGGGGTCGTGCTGTTCCGGGTCCAGACTAGTAGGAGGTTTGCTCCGCGCAGAAAGGGGGGGCCAGGACTGAGCTCCGCAGCAGCCTGGAAATTTGCCCCTGGGGGGACTTCCGCCTAGCAGAGCTCAAAGGCGCCCCCTGGCGGGCCCACGGATCCTATCCCGCCCACCTGCAGAGCAGAGGCTCCACAGACCCTAGAGAGTCACAGGCGCCCGGGGGAACCCGAGCCCCTCGATTGCTTTTGCAGCAAGTTAGTGTTGAGCCCCCTTACAGCCCCAGTTTCTCCTTCCGCAGCCCTGTTTGTTGAGGCCCCACAGCCTGGAATAGGAGGAACCCCTGCTGCGCCCTCTACCCCCCCACCCCCCGCCTCTGCTCCAGAGGACGGGCTTTAATAACATCGCTGGAAAGTGACACGCGATTTATTATTAAAGTAATGCGGAGATGGGAAAGGTTTAATAAACGCGCTGCGATGCCGAGGATTATTCGCTGCAAATAAATGAGAGCGCGGGCAGCGTTTTAATAAATAATTTCCCGCCGCTCCCCAGGGGAGAGAGGGGAGGAGGAGGGGGAAGCTGAGCTGCTGCCAGAACTCCCGGCGTCGCCTCCCCGCGGGTTTTCCAAGCCTTCCCCGCATTTTTCGCTGTAGGTTGCTCACACCCGACAAGTGAGGTTCCAGGAAAGCTGACTCCGAGTGGCCCAGGCCTGGAGGCGGAGAGCCTGTGTCTCACCCCACTTCCCCCACCTCTGGGATTTTAAGTAGTTTGCTTAAGATGAGCGAATGCGCTTCCTTCCGGCTCCGAACCAGAGATCCGGAGGCAAGACTGGGCCGGGGCGGGAAGTGTTAATCAGCACCAGCTCCTTTCAAACCGAGGGTCCCAGAACCCAGGGCCTGGCCGCTCTCCTCCCAGCTTTTGGCTGACTCCGGCTGGGCGTGCAGAACAGGGTGTAGAGAGCAGCGGAAGAGGGCTTTGTGTACAGGTGTGTAGGTATCACGTGTGTGCAAATGACGCTGATTCTCTTCTCAGGCCCATTGTGGGGATGGAGCCACTGAGTCTGGCTGCTCGTTACTGCGAAGGCCCGGGGAGGAAGGGCCCTTGAGCCTGTTCTGAACCTAAGGAGGAATCCTGGTGAAGCCCACTCCCTGGCTTGCTGTGAAGGGGGGTGGATTTGAGCTTAGGCTGAGCAGAATTGGAGCCCCAAGGGAGAGTCCACCCCTTCTACAGAAGCCTGGAGGCCCGAGAGTATGAACTGGATATCGCAGAGGGCCGAGATTGCAGACTTTGGGGACCAAGGACAGGCCCAGCAATGCGCTGGGTAGGGGAGCGAGGGGAGATCTCGTGGGGTACACTGGCTCCAAAAGTTTTGTGCCTCAGACTAAAGAGTTGACATCTCTGGCGACACCTCTGGCAATACTTGGAAGTACAGGAAGTGGTGAAAGAGTGCTATCTGGTGGATATTTAGGGTTATGGCAGCCAGATCTGGGCCAGGGGCCTTAAGACAGTTAAATAGGCTGGAAAATTTAAAATTATTATTATTATTATTTATCTATTTATTTAATCCTCACCCGAAGATTTTTTTTCATTGCTTTTCAGAGAGAATGGGAAGGGGAGAGAGAGAAACATCAATGTGAGAGAGACGCATCTGTTGGTTGCCTTGGTTGCCTCCTGCACTCAGCAGGTTGGGGCCAGGGATCCGGGCCTGCCGGAATAGAGCCTGAGACCCTTCAGTCCGCGCGCTGACTCACTAACCACTGAGCCAAACTGGCTAGGGCTGGGCTGGGAAATTTTGCGTAAAATAATGCTTCGATTTGTATTCATTTATGCATGTGAAGGTGTACATGTATGTGTAGTATATATGTGATATGTTTGTGTGATACCATATGTAATGTGTATCATATGTTCATAGTAGTGTTAAATGTATATGTGTGTCTATATGGACTATATATATTTGAGGTGTATGTATACATGAATGTATGTACATCACAATATATGTTATGGATGTGAGTTATCTACATATGAGGATAACCATATAGGTGCACATATGTTTGTGTATACATAAGCATTATATATATAGATGTATTGTTATATGTGTATATGGCTCTATGTATACATTTATTTGCCAGTACATGTTCCATTATGTGCCATTCTTTCAGCGAATATTTCTTATATGCCAGCACTGATGTATAGGGCTGGAAATACATCACAGAAAAACACATTCTCCCTGCCCTCATGGAGCTTACATTCTATTTTAAGATGTGCATGTAAATAAATTATATACCTGTTTGTTTACAGGCTTATGCGTGCATGTATGTGTAACTCAGTTTATGTGTGCATGTGTTAGGAGTAGACAGGCTTAAACACTCTGGTGGGCTTAGAGAGTCCCTGTTGTTTTGCTTAAAAGCTTGGGTCCTGTCACTTAGGACTATTCTAAGTGTGCAGACAGCTACAGACAGAGGGAAAAAGGCTGGAGACATAGGCTGATTACCTCCTAGGATATATTTTGGTTATTTCCTCAGCCCTCTGAATGACTAGATTCTCTCTAAAATGGGGAACAGCTATGTAAGTTCACTTAGAGTAAGGAAATGTGAGTGAAGACCAAGTCTCACCTCTCCGCTCAATGCAAAGCACCTTAGGAGGAAGAATGAAGGGCCAGGGATGGGTGAGAATGGGGTCTGGGAGGCTGGGGAAGGAATAGGTTCTCTGAGGGCAGCGATGAGGGCATTTAGAGATGGAGGGGCCAGGTCTGGGAGGTAGTGATGGGAGCTCTGGGATTCAGTTGCAGATGATAAGAGTGGTTTGAGAACTCCTGCGGAGGGATGGGCTGGTGGATAGAGATGGAGCCTGAGGGGAATAGTGGGGCCAGGATCAGGGATGGAGTTGGAGGGGCAGAGATGGAGGCTCTGGTGGCAGGGATATGACAGGCTTGGGGTGGAATTTTGAGGCCAGCTCTGATGGTGTCATCACTCCCTTTCTCCCACCCTTCCCTTCTCCATGCCAGGGCCCCTAACCTTTTCTAATCTTGTCTCTACTCAAGCTGGGTCTCAGCTGTACTGGGGGTAGAGGAGAAGAGCTCAGGCTCCAGGGCTTGTCCTGGCTTAGATGACTCATGGGGGTAGGGGGGAAAGGTGAGGGATGGTTGCCAGCACCACTGTCCCATGAAGCCTTGTCCCAGCCACCTGGGTGATTGCCATTGCAGCTGCTATTACCAGCTCCTAGTTTGGGCTCAGTCCAGGGGTTTCAAACAATGGTGGGGTCTGGACCTGGAAAAGGTCACAGAACACACTTCCCCATACATATACACACACTCCTGGGACTAAACTGGGAAAGGTGCTTCTGAATCATTTCTTCCTTCCATCTTTTGCTAGATGTCTTGCAGACATAGTCAAGACCAGAAGTCTCCAGGCGCCATCCTCACTCTTGGTCGGTTCCCTTTTTTTCTCAGCTTCCATGCTGAACCACTTCATCCTAAAACCATGGTTTCTTTTCCCTCATTACCTCTCCTCCCTTCCTTCAGTTTCTCTTTTCCCCCCAGGGTTGAGATCTTAGATCCCTGGCCTGAAGGCTGAAGACACAGGTTGTTTCCTGGCCTAAATTTATTTTTGACATTTTCTCTGCCATCTGGACAACTAAAGGCTCTCTGAACAGGTTAAACAGTTATGAAAGTCAGTATTAGTGACAAATGTCACCCCACAAGCAAGTCTTACCCTGTCCCCTTGGTGAGCAGCACCTTGGGAGGCAGGATGGACTTGTGGGTACTGAAGTGAAGTCTGGAGTCCCTTGGGAGAAAAGACAGGGTCTCTTTGAGAAGTTATTGGGTCTCCCAGGATGAAAGTTGAGGACTCTAGAAACAATTATTTCTGTCCCCCCCCCCCCC